ATATATTTATATATATGTTTATATACAGGGACAAGTTATAGTATGAGTTCAAACGCACTTACAAGATATTAAAAAATAAAAATTTTGAAAAAAAGAGATGTTGCTAAGGAGTAATATACCCCGAAATGTACGACAGATAATGAAGGTATATTACATTTGAAAGGATAAAAAGCCAGCTTGGTAATTATAGGTCACTTGGACAAAATACAAAAATAATAATCCAAAACAAAAAAATAGAAAAATCAGTGTACGAAAATCCAAGCGTTTCCGATAGTCAGTTGTTCGAAAAAAAACAACGTTTTTTTATTCTAATTTTCTAAAAATCAATTTAAAAAAGGACGTATAAATCTAGGTATTATTTATCTTAACGGGAGACGTACACTCCCAGAAAATCTTTTCATAAACAAATTATTTTTATTCATTTTCATGTAATTGTAGAAGAAGTTCATAAGTAATGTGATATATTAAGTAAGCATTTGTGGTGACTATCTTAAATTTTCAAACCTGTTTCTGAGTGCTGATGAAATTCATTAATAAATATTGAAACATATACATATTGCCAGTAATTTGGCGCTCAAGTGGAAACCTATAATTTTGGACTGTGGTTCTATGGAAGGATTTTGACCTATTTTAAAAAATAAATTACGAAAAAGTAATCCCGAAGTCAATAGACCCCCCGACAGACAGTTATGGAAAATTTGGGAACTATGTTTAAAAAAATTGAATACTTCCACAAACTAACAGTATTTCCCAATTTCCTCTCATAGAACCCCAGAATAAATCTTAAAGAAACTTGTAGGCCAAATTTGAAGCTTCAGTAGTTTTTGCAAATTCGTTTAAGCAAGGGGGTCACATTAAAAAAGTAAAAACACAGATTTTGAGAAAAACAGTAGAAAAATGAATTTGAAAACGGATTTTTTTATTCAATACGCTCTTTTCAAACACCCTTCTATGTCATGTAGGAAGATTTTTCCAACAGATTCGCTAGTGTGACCCGGCAGAACAGATGTTGAAGAATGTTTTTTCGACAAAAACCCCCAACAAAAATCGATATTTTGACAATTTTTATCGACATTTCCTAGGATTGCCAACCCGGGTCTTCCCATACATATCATCGCACAATAACAATGCTGTCATTGTGTGGCGATAACAAAATTTAATGCATCTGCGGAGGATATAAGAAATAAAAGGGATATAAGGATAAAGATGACTTGGTGTTTCTCCTCTTGTCGATGAGACCAAGTCTGGCAGAGAAAAGTGTTTGATATGAAAGTAAAAGCAAAACCACTCCAGAGCACCCGATGATCCACCAGCACTAACCGTAGGCATACACATCAAATAAGTCACGCGAAAACAAGGTAATTATACAGTCTGGCGTAAGGTTTCTTCGAAGCTCTAAGGGTAACAAAAAAGGAAGGGGAATTACCGAAATAAGTGTATACTATTTTTAGGGATCCCTATACCGATAATTGGGTACATTGAATGGCAAGAGCTATATCCTTATTATTGTTTTTTCTGTTTTTTCACCTTGTTCCACTTTTTTGCGTTGCCAATTGTCTTCACTGAGTTTTCAAAGAAAAAAATAGATTTTAAAATATAAACCATAAGCTTAGTTATGCTAAACGTAACATTTATGAGATTTTTTTCTCCTTTTCTTCTAAGTCAAAAGGAAATAGAGAAAGATCTAGGTTTGCTACCCTGAATAGAAAACGGTGTGTCTGACAATGTCAGAAGTACAGAGCTTACAGAAATGTGTTTTATGATAACACCAAAGGTGTGATATTATTATCATTATTATTATTATTATTATTATTATTATTATTATTATTATTATTATTATTCTTATTATTATTATTATTATTATTATTATTGTTATTGCTATTATTATTATCATTATATTAATATTATTATCATTATTATTATATTATTATTATTATTATTATTATTATTATTATTATTATTATTATTATTATTATTATTATTACATTACGAAGTGTCACCATAGTGACCAGAAAATCACGTTATTATTGGTCTTCATAGCACAACTTCCTGGTTCTTCATTTTCTTTTCTTCCTGTTTTTTTGTGGGCGGGTCCCTTTTTTTTAGGGTTAGCATCTCTAGCTCAAGGACACCAAGCCAGTAACCACCCACGTATAGATCGTCTTATTGACGTTTCTAACCATCGTCTGGTCTTCTGGGGACCGCAGCTCGTTAACCACCGGACGAGTGCTGGGCCCTGATAAATCAAATAATAAGAACAAATAACAATTACGCGCACAACAGAAAGAAAATCCACAGAAATTAAGAGGAACTGATCGAGTCAGGCCGGTAAAGATTGTTGTTCTGTCCGTGACTAAATTTCCTGCCGGAATCTGTATTATGGAAGAGTAATCGGAAATTTGGTCGATATTACTTCCGGTGAGGGTTTTTAGTTCCGGTCCCAAGGCCAGAAAGTCTCTGGCACTCTTGTTGCTGGGAAGTTAGTACTGAACAAGGGATGAATGAGTGTGTACTTCCTTCTGGCACTCTTGTTGCTGGGAGTTAGTACTGAACAAGGGATGAATGAGTGTGTACTTCCTTCTCGCACTCTTGTTGCTTGGAAGTTAGTACTGAACAAGGGATGAATGAGTGTGTACTTCCTTCTGGCACTCTTGTTGCTGGGAGTTAGTACTGAACAGGGGATGAATGAGTGTGTACTTCCTTCTGGCACTCTTGTTACTGAAGTATACCTTCCCGATTTATACAATTTAACAATTTTGAGAGAAATTGTACTGCATTATGATTGTTTACTATTGTTTGTGAGCGTATAAATGAGTTGTTTGTATGTTCATGAGTGTGTTTGTCTTTTATCTTTGTGGTGTGCGTTTGTGTGTGTGTGACTGAGTGTGTATGTGTATGTGTATGTGTGTGTATGTATGTGTGTGTGAGTGTGTGTGTATGTGTGTGTTTGTGTGTGTGTGTGTGTACGCGCGCTTTTGTTTGTAAAACATATTTGTGACACTTAATAAAAAAGCGTGTTTTCGTTATTAATAGAAATGTTTTGAAATTTGGTACCACTACCTGAAAAGTAAATAGGCGACTGTTCAATTAAATATAGTACAATTCCTTGCTTTCCACTTGTGTATGGTTTTTAAAAATTTTCTACAACATTTGCTTTTGGTCTGCTGTTGACGGATGTCTAACGTGTCCACTATATATGTAAATGGTTAAAAGACTGAAACATAGCTGAGAAATACCAAATGCCTTTTTTTTTGTTTTAGTAAGAGTTTTACGGAACTTGCAAACACAAAGGTCAAATAAGTG